CGGTTATGGTCGGGTCAGTTTTTATAAGAATCATCGTAGTTTTGAAGGCAATGGAAACTGTAATGCAACTTGATAAAAGGATGATTAGAAGCATTTAAGAGTGAATTCAATTTGGGCAACGTTTGTGAAATTGAGCATTTGAGATTGTAAGCTGCTCTTGAGGTAGTGTGAGGGGTTGTTCGGTTCATTTTCTATTAAGATCTGTATGAATAAGTTTGTTTGTATTGATAAAGTTGTTTGTATGATAACATATAAGATGTGCAGTGGTTGTACTGAGTAAACCTTCTGAATGTCAGAAATGACCGTTTTACCCTTAGTCTATATTTTTATTGAATAAAATAATTGTTTTATAAAAATCTTGAATAAATGGCTTTAATTATATAAAGATATCAATTTAAACATTTTTTAAATAAAAACCATTTCTCTCTACAACATTTCATCAAACACCTTGTATCCTAAAAAAATATAAGAACACCATTCCTTTTTCTTAATTACACTTTAGGTGACCCCACCATTACCTTTTGATTTCCCAACAAACAACACACACATATCAATCTTCATTGATGGAAACCATTATCCATACCTCTTAATTAGGTGGTGGTGCAGACAATTTCTTCGTTTTCTAGGTGTTGCTCAGTCAAATTGTTCACCTTCGTCTTCTTCGTTTTCTAGGTGTTGCTCGGTCAAGCAAAGGGGATGGTGCATATGGTTGGGTATTAATTAAGATTCGAGTGTTATATTTGAATTTAGGTTAGATTTTGATTTGATTTCCGATTTGAATTTTAGGTTTAATTTTGATTGGGTTTTGATTTAGGTTGAAGAAGATGACTAAAGAACATTTGAGTTTTAGGCATTGGATATGGTGGCAGGAGTCTGGTGTGAAGTTGGTCGATATGGAAGGAGTGCAAATCGTGAACTGGGTTGAAGATGGAACGAACGGAGATGGAAGGAGTGCAAATCATGAACTAGGTTGAAGATGGAGGCAAAGGTTGAAGATGAGAGTTCCAAGGGTAGTTTGGAAAATTAATGAAAAATTAAATGACTGAGTAAAGGAGTATGGTTACCAGTTGAGTGAATAAGTCATGCGCTGATCAAATAAGCCACAGTCGAACGATTATTTATAGTTGAGCGGATAAGCTATATAGGCTAACAGCCCATTAAGCCATAATCGAATAGCCCCTGAGTCAACTAAGGTTAGGAGGCAACTGAGAACTTATTGTTGGAATTTGTTCCAACAATGTTCAATGTTCACGCATGTTATTGGTGTAACATATTGAGATGGAGTTTGGATGTGGGATTCATCATGAAAATAATCATGGCATATTTGGCAAGAAGTTATCAGGTACTTGTTAGAGTTTGAACTAGGTTAGAGACCCTCTCTTGGAAGGGAGTCAGTTATTTGGGAAAGTACCATCATTTGAGGTCTTTACCACTGGATTTTTGTTCTATTTAGGACAGGTGAATGACAAGCCACCTGTCGGACTTGTGCTCCGGGGTGGGGCGTTTTAGAACCATCATGTGCGTCCTTTATGGTTCAAGTGTTTTTCGAGAAAAAAAAGTGTGTGATACCGATGTCGGGAGAACTCTTGGATCGAAGTTTGATTTTTCACAGAGGATCGAAACACGGAGAGCCAAGTGATCCCGTTATGTTGTGGCTTTTATACTAAATAAATTTCATTTAGAAATTGTGATTCAAATAACATCTTTTCCTAGTTTTACTATTTTATATTAAAGACGAAAACTGCTTGAACTCACTAGGCGTTAATCTATAACTTTTTTATTTTTCATCATGTGCATCGAGTCCTCTTTAGGAAATGATACTATCGACACTTAATGAGTTGAGTGCTAGTTAGAGACACGAGGAGAAAATAGTCATTCGGGGACGTCTTCTGTAACTTATAGGTAGCGACCCTTGTTGGATTTTAGTAATACTCATCCCTATTATAGACTTTGAGTAAAGTTTGATGTGTACTTATTGATGTTAAACCTTAAATTGTCATTTTAGGTGATTCGGTTATCGCCTGTTAAAAAAAATTATCTTTCAATTGATGTATATAGAAAATTTTAAATTAGTCACGGTTTTCAAAGGAACCACAAAGCAAGTTTACAATATGGTCCAATATCGTCTTTTCCAAGTAATAAAGCGGTAAAAACCGAATATCGTCCATGAAGATTGTAGCAAAGACTTAATAAGAGTCCAATGAAACAGATGATTTCAGATGATGAAATTGAAGACTTCAGATTGATTATGAGTTAACAATAATAAAATAACATAATATAAAAGGTAGCATGGGTGTAAGACTTATGGTGAAATGTAAACACAAATTCCAACAGACAATGCTGTAGGAATGCTACAGCATACAGTAAGTCAAAACTAGTTCCACCATCTATTTTGAAGGTATTCCTCTTGGACTTCACAATTGCCCTATATTATAGCTTTCAACTCATATCTCTATGTGGTATCCGGACCAAGGATAGTGACAAAATGATGTTTTCAAAATATATGGATAAACAAATCTCTTTGTTAAAAATCACACTCTCCAGCCGATTCCCAAATCATTCAAGTTGACATGTGTTCTAGATAGTTCATCTCTGAATCTATCGCATTTTGACACTTTTAAAGAGTGACCAACCTGTCGGGAGTTAATTTGAAAGATATAAATGACAAGTCTCCTTGCCGGTAACTTTATCAAGTCTACCTCTTATATATCATTCAAGTTGACGTGCATTTAATGGCTTATCTCTAAGACCATGGTACTTTAACATTTTCAAAGTGATCAACTAGTCAATAAGTGTACTTGGTTTTTATAAAAAACTTGAATGAAATAGTGAAACATTGTTATTGCGAAACAACGTCCACTTTCCTTCGGTTTAACATTTCACCCTTTGTCTTAGACCCAAGCTAATGGAATTAGCTACTTATTACAGAAATTAAATGACAAGAAATATAAAGAACAAAAAACAAAGACATAAATATAAATGATGGAAAGTAAAAGACTGAATATAAAGAGGGAAAATTAAATGACAAGAAGAGTAATTAAAGTAAAAACAATGCTACAACAACTCATAACGAAGAACAATATTTAAAAAAAATTCAAGAACTAACTTGCATAAGCATAATAACTACAAATCTGATTTTTAAATGTCTGTGGGATGATTAAATGAAAGCAAAAAAGGTTCCTATTTATACAAAAGACTTAAGCAACAAGACAAAAATATTGGAAATAACCATGCTCCTTAAAGGTGGACAAAAGTAAAAAAGGGATATCACATCATGAACAAAAGCAACCTACAAAAATCCCTTCTCCAGCTGTAATGGTTATTAGCCAACAGATCAGCAGAATTTTGTCTTCATTCTAATTCGGCAGCTGAATCATTAAACACTTCTCCAAAAGGCCGCCTCATAACATATCAATGCTTCTGGAATGCCGCAACATAGAACATTGTGTTTCTAAGTTAAGATCACTTCTACTCAAATGGTGTGAAGATAAGCTAATCACTCAATTTAACTCCAAGTATAAACAAATAGAAAATAAAGTAATAAAAATGACTCAAGGTTGGGATAAAAGAAAATAAACTACCTAATAAGTAAAGAAATGGATACTTTATGTTTTGAATAATAAATGCATATCACACCCCTAAACTTAAAGTGTTGCTTGTCCCCAAGGAACCAAAAGACAACTAAAAATGACTCAATAAAACAAATATACAAGATTATGGCATTAAGTGCACACATATTGCAAAGCATACCATTATAAATATCATAGCCTTTCATAAATCCTTAGTAAACCAGTCATAGCCTAAATCTTATGTATGAACCATATGCTAGCACTAATCTTTTCTTTGTTAAACTCAACACACTTTTCATTGGAGGTCAATAGGATTTTTTATAGGTTTACTCTCCTTGGCATTTTTCTTCTCTCACATTGCCTTTTCTTATGTTTCAGCAATGATTTTTTTTGAATTTTGGCAATTTGTGCTCTTTTGTTGAAAACATGCACATTGTCCCTATGGGACTTTTTTGTGCTTTAAACAAGTCCAACTAAGGCATCTTTTTAGAACTTTGCTCTTTTGTATTGATGTTTTGGCCTTAGTGGAACACCCTCCTCCAAACTTGAAGTGTTGACAATGCCCTCATTAGCTATATGGGGTGTGTAGCGTATAGTGGGTGCTAGTGGTTATTTGTGAGTTATGAAGAAAGACCTATATCATACCCCTCATATTATTGGTGTGTGAGTCAAGTTCTGTCCCAAAAAGAATGGTGCTAGTTCTAGCAAGAACACATCTACTAGGTGAATAGCTAACAACCTCAGAATTATTTAGGCTATGACGTCAAAGCCAACTATCAATGAACATGCAATCTTGTAAAGAAAATAAATCTAAAAAAATATAAAATCATCCCAGACTAAAAAAAAATGGATACTAATGAAAAGTGATTGAACCTGCCCTACTCCAAAAAGTAGGCTTTGAAGCCTGTGCTGCTATCTCCTTCAACTTCTCATTCTCTTTAAACAACCTTTGAGTCTCCACTTTGATAGCCTTTAGAATGTTTTCACGAAAGTTTATGTTCTCACCTGTTATGAGACTAAAAAAAGCACAAACTTTTCTACAAAAATGGAGCTGTTATGATTAGTGGGTGATAAATAATGTCTAATAAAGCTTATCCAAACATTCTTATCAAAAGACAAATTGGCAAGCTTTAAAGGTTTTCAACATGAAATGGGTGTAAGACTCCCAATCAGTCTCAGGCATTCCAAGGAAAGTAATGATCTCAACCACATATGCCTCAGAGGTCGTGTGCAAGAGTGCATCATTATTAGAATCTATGTGAGATGAGAGACCAAATAATTTATTTATGGCTTTGTCAAAAGTAGACACCTTTCTTTGTGGCTCTATGGATGTGAAGTTATTGTCATGTAGGATGATTTTATGTTGACAAACAGAAGGACTAATCCCCTTTTGGTCGTTAATGGTCCATCCTATAGCTTTTGTGTGCAACTTCAACATATCAACCAACTTCTTCTCTTCTCTTGATGCAAATCTAGGGTAGATGAAATGATGACAAGCAATTTGCCTTTTTCTCCTAGAAAATTATACTTCAAACAAGATGGGAGTTGTTTCAACTTCAAGTCAGGTGGTGATATAATGGATAGGGTGAAATTCTTTTGCTCACTGTTTTCCAACAACTCAAATGCAGTAACATCACTTGGGATACCATCATCCTCTCTTAAATCTAACTCCTCAACAATCTCTTCATCTATTTCAACACTATCATCTTCCTCTAACTTACAGACTTCTCTAGTTCCTTCCTCATGACACATTGCCTCTAACTCAGTTATGCTTGAGCACTCCTCCAAGTAGTCAGGGTATTTCAAAGAATTGAAAACATTAATTGTGACATTTTGGTCCTCAAGTCTCATAGTCAACTCTCCTTTCTGGACATCTATCAAAGTTCTTTTGGTGGCTAGGAATGGTCTCCCTAAAATAATAGAAATGTCCTTATCGGCCTTAAAGTCTAAGATGATAAAATCTGAATATAAACTTGCCAACTTGCACTAAAACATCCTCAATCTTTCCGTTAGGGTATGCAATGGATTTGTTGGCCAATTGAAGTGTAACAGTGATAGGTCTAGCCTCTTTTACGCCTAAGGTGTTGAAAACAGATAAATGCATGAGGTTGATACTTGCACCTAAGTCACACAAAGCTTTCCCAATCTGTTTCCCACCTATAGAATAAGGAATAGTGAAACTTCTTGGGTCTTTAAGCTTAGAAGGTATCTTGTTGGTCAGAAGTCCACTACATTCTTCAGTAAGAGCTACGGTTTCATATGCGATCAACTTCTTCTTCTTACTTAAGATGTCCTTGAGGAACTTAACATCACCAGACATTTGCTCGATTGCCTCAACAAGTGGTATGTTGATATACAATTCTTTAAACACATCCAAGAATTGTTTAAAATGCAGTTCTTTCTTCTGATTCCTCAACCTTTGGGGGTAAGTTACATAAGGAGGAACTGGTTTTATGAAAGCTTTCTTTGAATGTGTGGAGCAAGATGAGTCCTTTATGCCTTGGGTGGTCTTACTCTCGTGTGGTGTGGATGGGGTTACGGATTTGATCTTAGGATCTGCTATAACCTCATTTTGTAATGACTTTTTTCTATTGGCCTCTTCTGGAAACAGTAAAGGGTAGTTTGATTTTGGGGGGACAGTATTGGTGACCTTAGATGATTGGTTTTCTAATGGTTTCAGTGGTTTTTCAATAATAGGGGCCAATATTGTAGCATCGGTTTTTGACAAAATTGGTTCATGATCTTTTTGCACAGCTTATGTCAATTCCTTCCCACTTCTCAGGGTCACTGCTTTCACATGTTCCTTTCCTAAGGCTCTCGAGACTTCTATGTTACTAGGCAAAGTACCAAGGACTCTATTAGTCTGATTGAGTGGAAGTTGACTGACTTGGGTTTCAAAATTTATGATAGCAGCACTTTGCTGATTAAAAAGAGATTGATTCTGAGAGTTTTGTTGGGTTATCAAAGATAGATTTTGAGCTTGAGCTTGAGCTTGCGCCAAATAACCCTTTTATCATTGCTTCCAAAGAAGATGATAAATCAGCTTGCAGAGGTGGCTTGTTTTGAACAGGTGGTTGAGTAGGTTGAAAATTTTGGTGATGATTTTGAGAGTTAGAGCTGCCTGCATGTTGTTGGGGTTGAAAATTAGAGGCTCATTGTTGCTTATGTGCGGGTGGATTTAAACATGGACTATTCCAAGAAAAATTCGGGTGTTGTTTCCAACTTGCATTGTAATTGTTGGTATAGGGACCATATCCATTATGAACAAAGTTTATAGATTCAGAATTATGAGGACAAATATTCATAAGAGTGTTCCCCGCCACAACAAACACATTGCACTGAGAGGACTGTTGGAACAGGTGTAGTAGCAGCTTGCTGCACTCCTTGACCAGAAGTTAGATTTTTAAGCATGTTGGTCATGGAAGTGAGTTGTGCTGTTAATGCAGTGTATGCATCTACATCATGAATTCCATCAGTCTTTGTGGTTGAACACGTGGATCAGCCCAATGTCCATTATTTGTTGAAATCTTTTCAAGGATCTCATACCCCTCATTGTAGGTACTAGCTGTAAAGGCCCCTCCTACAGTTGCGTCGAGCATCTGCTTAGCCATGGGACTTAACCCATTGTAGAATATCTTGAGTTGAATACTGTGAAGTCCAGATTTCATACAAATCTTGATCAGATCTTCATAAAAGCTCAAGAACAAAGATGAATGAATAAGAATGTAAGATAGATTGGAGAGAGAGAATTACTTGGCTGTCAAATCACCTTTTTGAATTATGATGTAATCAAAGTGTGTAATTACAATTACAAAGGAAAGACTATTTATACTAAGGAAAATAAAACTCAACTAATTACAATTAAGCTAAGCAAATGGAGAAACTTGAATACAACATTTTAGCTCTAATCTTGAACCCAASATTCWYCSCCTTTGGATTCAAGTTTGGACTCTTGTAAATTTCGTTTTGCGCAGTCCAAGAATCTTCTCATACCTTCTCAGAGCATTTCGGTATTGAATTTTCTCCTCGAGCAGATTGATAGCGTTGACGAGCAGATATCTTTCTTTGACATTCATTCGCTAGGATTCCACAACCTTTTCATCATTCATCAGYTTTGAGTCTAATGCCCTCTTCACCAACCTGATCGTACCATCAGAGTATTTATTTAGTTCACTGAATCTCATAAACTTTTTCATCTGAAGTTGAGCAAAGTAAATGACTCCGAACTCAGGACTTTCAAGAACCGTGTATACTGGATAACTATCAATGTCTTCAAGCTCTTGATTAGGTCTTTTGAGATTGATAATTTTCTGGCTATCCTCAAGACCCATTTGAACATCGATGATCATAGACAGCTTGACTTGACTTCTGATGAATCTTTTGATTGTTTCCAGTGCTACAAGTTCTCCTTCCTTTCCGATCTGCATATTTTTGAGTTCGAAATACAAATACTCAAGATCATCTAAGTACATGTTAGTGAAATCAGCTTCACTAAATCTCCAGATCTGGCCATCCTGTCTTGTGATAGTAAAAACAGGATACCAAATTTTACGGAGTCTCTGAGCATCTATCTGTTTTATCGAGACAATCCTATGCTTGGTACGTACTTGGCTGATTGGCTGGCATTTAGACTTTAAGAGATGTCTATACTCTGTTCTGAACTCTTTAGGCTTTTTGTGGATCCCTAATACTCTGTCACCACTGATAAGCTTCTTGTGACGAATAAAAATACCAAAATAGACATCTTCAAGGTACGGCTCTCGGATCCGTTCTCGATCATAACCAAAATAATTTGCTCTGATATGAAATGGAATATAACCCTTTGTGAAGATTTCTGTAGATTCAACAGTTGGCTTTGGAGTGCTAGTTTCTGGCGCAGTAGGTAATCAGCAGTTAAAGATTCTGGAGCAAACTGTGGATCACCTTGAATAGGAAATTCTGGATCTCCTTCTTCTAGATCATCTTCAAAATCAAAGTATAATCCAGTAGATTCATCAATATTCTCCACGTCTTCACCAAAATCCTGCTCTCCACCCAAAGTAGATGTAAACATACTGTTGAAACCTACGTTGGCTGACAAGTCCATAAGCAACCTTGTCTCTACAGTGGAGTCCGCCGGCTTTTCAACCATTGGCTCGATCGTAGGACTTGCCACCACTTCTTCTTCATCTTCAATTACAATCGCCTCTATTATTCTTTCCCGCACTGACTCCGGGGTAAAACTTTGAACGTTGACATCTTGAGAACCTGACTTTTCCCCCACCTTTTCTCCCTGTGCAGATGTCTCAGCCAATCTCGGTCTCTTCATCTCCCCCTCATGACTATCAGGGTCCTGATCGTCATGCTTTCTTTTGAGAGATTCGGCTTGAGATCTGCAGGTTTCTTCAAGAATAGACACTCTGTCAGCAAAAGTATCCATTGATCTTTTCAGTTTAAAGAAATTAGCGTTGATCACATCTTGGAAAGTCAAGAACTCAGAGGCTCKAATAACAGGGTTTGTTTCAATCTGTTGGCGAAGAAGACCAACTAAATCAGCATCTTCAGCATCTTCATTCTGTGAAGCCATCAATTTTGCATATAAAAGCGATTTGAGCTCATCCACCGACTGATCCGGTACTGATGGTTCTGGTACTGGAGGTGGTGATGGCACTGAAGGTGTCTCTTCCATAACTTGCTCTTTTCCCTTGATCAAACGTTTCAGACTAGCAAATTGAGCATCGAAATTGTCTTGAACAGCCTTTAGGGCGTCGTCCAGATATTCCCTTGACACAAAGTCGGGTAATATAACACCTGGATCACTTAGATTACCAGTTGAAACAACAGTTGAATAAACTGTTGTGCCTACATTCAATGTTGCCATAATATTAGCATTGGTAGGACTTCCGACCTGTCCTTGTGAAATATCCGAAGATACCACTCTGGTCGTTCTGGCTTGTTCACTAAGAACAGCACTTGGAGCAACAGATGCTCCGGACTCACGTGTACCTATGTGTATGGGCTCTATACTCRAGGTGCACAGAATCGAAGGCGTAGGTTGGGGCAACGACCTACTTATTTCAATAACCACGTTCTCCAAGTGAGAAGTAGTTAGCATATGTGTAATATCCCCGTGAGAAGTTGAAACAGTCGGTTGTTGAGAACCAACTGAGTGGATAGGGAGGGTGTGCATTTGCATAGCTGGGCTAGCTATGTCTTGTTCAATACCAACATTCAACGTATGAATGTCAGTAGTAGATGTGGTTACCCGGCTAAGTATATCAGTTTGGGATGGAGCTTGTTCTTCTTTTTCGGCTCCAGTCACACTCTCACCATCTTTTTCTTCTTCCCTTTCTCTCATACTCTCTTCATTTTCTACTTCGACTCCCTCAACACCACCTACAATTGATATGCCTTGAAGATAACGATCATACTCGTCGCCTTCTTCAACATTGAATGATAAAGATTATAGGCTGGGACAAGTTTGTTGAGTAGCAAACTCAGGAGAGATCTTATCGATATCATCATCAAATGTCCCAAAGTGTTGTGCATCATCATCATCATCATTACCATAATCCGCTCCTTTATCAGATTGAGTAGCTTCAGAAGATGGTGAAGCTCTAGCAGTTAAAGTATGTGGCCGATCAGAAGCTCCCTGCACCGATTCACCCCTCTCCATTACATTTTCCCTCAGCGCACAACCCTGTTCAGGTACCCCTTGTACTTGAACACGCTCTTCTACTTCTAAAGTTCTCTCAACTGAGGCATGGGGTGATCCTTGGGCAAGT